TAATGCTACATGATCAACCTTTTCTGATCGATTCCACAATGTTTCTTCCACAATACAATCGCCTGACCAGAACTGGTCTATACCTTAAAAGAACACAAAACGCTTCAGTTAATTTTGAATTATCTTTTTTTTTTCTTCTTCAAATCTTTAAGTGCTAAAGTAACAGAATGAATATTTAATTATAAATCCTTGTGATTACCACATTACCCGGAATGAAACCATTCAATTAACAATAACAAACAAGACAGGCGCGGATCCAGGATTTCTTAGGGGAGGGGGCCCAACATTTTTTTTTTTAAAGGTAAAAATCACGTGTTTTTACATGATTTTTTTCTCAAGGGTGTGGGGGGGGCGGGCCCCCGGGCCCCCGGGCCTCCCTGGATCCACCACTGAAACAAGATGCACTATTGATACCTTAATAAGTCTCGCGCATCTTGTCACTAAACATTTTAAACTCTGAAAACTGTCTTTATGATTTAAAATGAATAGTATCAGTGTCTTATGATTTCTTGTAATTAGAAATGCTAATGACAACATTCCACATTTAAAAATAATATGATATTTACCATATTAGTCATTTTACTTAATCTGAAAAAACAAAAACATTACCTGAGTAGAATATTTTTGTTATTCAAGCACTGAACACCAAAACGAATATTACAGACAAAATCGGAATGGTTCTTCCTTAGAGCAGGTTTCGAGAAAATATTTGTTACTTCTTCAATTCACATGTTAGTACAAATTTGTAATCACCTCACAGTAACATTGATTATGACATTGGTAAAATTAGATCCCTGTAGTGGTGCGACCAAATCGTTATTTATTCATTTTATTTATTTATTTCGTTTTATTTCAACAGGGTAGCCCCATAGTAGTTAAAATACTGTTATACTTGGGGGCCCTGCGTAACATAAAATACATATAAAGATACATGAAAACATCATTACATTGTGAATAGTAAACAAACCAGAAAGAATACAGATTAAATCTCAAATGTAAATTTAAGTAAACAAAAAAAAATCCAAAAAAATCATACATAAACAAATTTTGAAGAAGAAAAAATATTATATTGTAGTTACAGTGTGTCTAAAAATAAAAAGAAACCGTGACAGAGACTATAGGCGACTAAGTTTTCAAACTGAATCATCTCACCAAAAACTTTAGCTTATAGCAAAGATGTGATGGTCTTACATCTCGGATAGTATCCGAGATGTAAGACCATCACATCTTTGCTATAACGTATTACGCGGGGGATAATATTGATCAATCTAAACGAGTCTTGTAAAATTATGGTTGGGAATATAAAATTACATTATACAACTTTCTCAAACTAAAAATTAGAAGAAAGCGGTATGCCAAATTGTGACATGGTAATACAAAATACAGCTCTGTCGTCCGACCCGTTGATTTCAGTACACAGTAAACGAGCTGAAAATAACAGTAGACTAGTTTAACAAATAAAACGCGTTAGTAAATCATAATGATGTTGTAATTTATTGTTTGCTTTACCCGGAAGAACTAATCTTTGTCGTATTATACTAGTCAAACTAGGCAAAATATGTGGTTCTTTTAGCAGAATGAAGATGGATGTTTAAAAAAAAATGGACATTTTAGCGTGATTTCGTTTATCAAAGAGCATACGTCCATTTGAAAGAAAAAGCAGGTACTTTTTCAACTGAATCCTGAAGTAGGTCTATGCGTTTGCCTTAGTTTAGGGGTATTTTTCTAGATCCCGACTCCAAATTGAAAACTGGTCGGGAATAAACCAGATGTCTATAACTATCGGTTACGTCATCAGCTTGCTAAATGTAGAAACACATTGAATCCCATACTATAGCCAGCATTATGTGACATGCTTGTTATACCCTTGAGGGTTACGTCATCAGCCGTTGGGGAGTCCCCGGGGGTATATTATGATCTCTGAATCTCTGCCCGACTATATAGGAGTACACTTGTGAAATACCCTTGGATTCAGGAGAAAAAATGCACGCGAAGTCCTCATTTAGGATGTATTTTTGCTGCATGGAAAACTGTGGTAACGATATGTATCATTTATATATGCCTATACCCCGGTCCCCTCACTCCGAGGTCGGGACCGCAACCGTGTTCCCAAAATGTCCGGTAAAGGGGTATTTTTCACGCACCAAAAAGTCCGGCTCGTAGTACTCCGGCCCGTATTGACTAATTTACACACTGGACTTAAGGGGTGTTTTCAAAAGGAGGGAACACGCATACGCGTACCCTAAATAACACTGAGTGGGGGGGGGGGGGGCTATACAGCTAATGGTAATTAAGACCACCTGTGACAGCGAAGAGCTAGGGTAATGAGAAAGGTAAACGGGCACCTGTCAAAGTAAAAGGGGCAATAATCATCAGATTTCAATGTAGGGGTATAGTCTCGAGGGTTCAAGTTCAGTTCATATATTCAAAACCACACAAAACATGACATAATCTTTTGCATATATGTAATGTATATATGATTAATGTACTATTACCAATCTCTAAAAAAAAGAGATTGGTAATAGTACATTAATCAACATAATTATACTAACTTGATTACATCATAAAATGAATGGTTTTAGGCAGGGGCGGATCCAGCCGGCGGCACATATGAAAAACTTTCGTTCATCTGCTCCGTACGCATCGCACCGTGAGCTACAACACGTGAAATTCCTTACCATTTATATGCATTACCTACGCTAAATCACAGCAACAGCCTGACCCCACAGGGGCGGATCTAGCTTTTTGCTAAGGGGGGGGTTGACCAAAATAATGACGATGCGGAGCATCGTCCACGAGCCGCGAAGCGGCGAGCCGATTTTTTTGGGGGTGTTTATTTGAACCCCGTAAGTGATGTTTTCCTGGCATCTATTAACACAATGGAGACCATAAAAAGCAGTGCATGATAACGTCTTTTTAAATCAAGTAACAGTTTAATACATAGTTATATCCAGAGTTATCATGTGTTTGGTTAAGTTACCAGATGAGTTGAATATCTTCTCACAATATTTGCACTTGAAAGGGTTTCTCTCCAGCGTGCGTTCTTTTTTCTTTCTTTTTTTCTTTCTTTTTTTTCTTTTTTTTTTGTTTTTTTTTTGTTTTTTTTTTCCTTTTTTTTTTTTTTTTTTTTTGGGCCGCCCAAGGGGGGGGGGGGGGGTTGCAACCCCCCCAACCCCCCCCCCCCCCCTGGATCCGCCACTGACCCACCGTCTCGGCCGGTATTTTAAAATTCAATGTTTTGTCTTTAAGATGATATAAATTTGAAATAATTTCATTCATGCGAAAAGGTTACACTTTTTGCTTAAAAATGTTCCCAAGAAACCTTTCACGACACTTTCTCTATGGAGGTCAACCGATTTTCGCCCAAACTTCGTCAACTCTCCATATACCATACTCATCTTGGCTGTAGAACTGATTCGATGGCCGAATTGCACCGTCTCGCAGAGGTTTCAACGATTCCAGTTATGTATCATTCATTTTGATTGGATAAGAGGAAAAGGTTGCACTTTTGCATCAAATGATTTGCTGTCTCTTATGTATGCTCCTTTTTGCGCGAGAGCATGAAATATGCCACACTACACGAGTTCCATACATTATAGCGTGCGAACTTTTGCGTTGCATGTGATTTGAAACAGATAAGTCTCCTCTCGGAATGTTCCCCGAACCTGTCCATTTTGTGTAGTTATTTCTATCAATATGTGAGTTTCAACCTAAAATGTGGAAAGAAGAAGACATGTAGACTGTAGTAATGATAATTAAATGGTGATACATCATGGATTTGTTGTGTAATTTGCCAGTGACCAAGAAGAAACACAAAGGATTTTGTAAAAAAAAATTGGGGGCCTAGCTAGCTCGAAAAGTGATTCGAAAAATCGCACTCCCGCACTCCCCCCCCCCCCCCCCTTGAGCGCCAGAGGTGGTGGCCCATGTCCAAAAAAAAGTAATTAACATGTTTTTACCCCAGGGGATTCGCCACTGGTTATAGGACCCCTGTGGTCTGTAGAGTGATGATTAACACTGATGAGTAGGTATTTTGTGGTCAAAAAGCATTTGAAAACGAGAAATTATGTCAGTCTTCCAAGTAGGTACGTTTTAGATAATCTTCTAAACCTAGAAAGAGTCGTACTATTTTTTTTTTTATATCATCAGGCAAACTGTTTCCCGGCAAAATTTGTATCACCACTGGCAATACCAAGAAGTTTTAAGAGATGTAAGAGAGTAAGAGAGTAATAGCTGGCTTGATCATTCCCTTTGTACCACCTTCGAAGCCGCCAAGAGAAAATATGTCAGGCATGTGCTTAACTGGATCTTCCTTGCTGATACGTAGACAAAAGATTCCTGCCTATATAGCTGCACACACTCACTAGTCACTAACGGGCCACTTTCAAAGGGAAATATGCTTTTGTAAATTACTTTTCGCTTCCACTCGTCTGATAATACGATCAGCACACACGTGCTTACCTTTACAGGAGGCAAGCGAAAGGAAATAGAGCATTATTTCCTGAAATATTAATCAAAATTACTCGTCTGGGGGCATGTGTGGGCACTAATCTGACATATACCATCATACATAAAACATGAAATATTCACTTTTCATTTTCGTGAGCCGGAAGCGATCGGAAAAGTGTCAAATTACAGGTTTTAGGATTGTCAAATTTTACCATTTTTCACCAATTAAAGCTATAGTATCATACAGTGTAAGAAAATTTCTTGACAATATTAGGCTTTTGTATTCATATTTTATCATCTGTTCGATTTTCACGTTATTAGTTCAAATAAGAAGTGAAATATTAAGGATATTTCTATGTGAACAAAATCAAGCACTTTCCTATGATATTGGCGGCTTCGAACCGGACATCAAAGGTAACAGCATGCACACCAGTAGATTCTATATTGTGTAACCTTAGAAGACGGCAGCTGCTTGGAATAATTAGCTGGCAGTAATTGGGTCTCCAGCTCTTAAAACGGCTTTGGTAATACGAGCTTCGATCCGTTTCATTTTTTGAGAGGGGGGGGGGGGGGGCGTTTCCAAAACTGGTCTTAGCTTTACCTTTAAAAAGGTCACTCCTTAAATTTTCATTTACAGCCATCGCACGAAGTTAAGCCGGTACCGCCTACGTAGGTAAGTGATTTTTTCCCTTTTATTCTGGCTCAAATGGTTTGTTTCGAAAAGACATGCTGAAAAATATTGACCTAGAAGTCTAGTCATCGAACAATAGCCAATAATCGAACAATCTTCAGGATTGAAGGACATAGAAAGCTAAGAAGAAGATTAGAACGAGGAACGTCAGTGTGTGTGTATACTGTAACTTACAACGGTCCCACCCGTCCGTACTTGCGTGTGTTCCTACATAATATTTTGTCAACTAGAATCTAACCGTTATAGTCGTTAGCCTTAGCCTTAGGGCCTAGGCTAAATGACCATATTAAATCATTTCTATAAGTTTCAGTCGATTCGAAACCATGTGTTTAAAAACCAAAGAAATCACTGCTATTTTATTATAATTCTCCATTGACCAATTAGGTATTACTATTGGGTCTTTTTTTTAATGTTGTTATTTGTTGTTTCACTAGCAATATGTAGCATGCCATTTGATTTGCGAATGGTCAGGTCGTCTGGATTTTCTTCTTCTTTGGGTTACTGTCCAACAATTACCTTAAAATGGGGTTAACATTAACAGAAACGGTGTGCACTAGGGTTAACTGCAGAGAGAGAGGATTGGCTTAATGTGTATTTTGCTCAGGAAGGAGGTTAACTTATTTTTGAGTTATGTTGACTTGGGTTGATTTTATGTAGTCTGGATATGCAGTAGTACTTAAAGAGAAGGTTGAGTTCTGGGAAGAGGTGAAAAATTATTTGTGAGTGTCATCATTGCTATTATGCAAGGTAAAACATGTTCCCTGAAAAGCATGGCTCTTCAAATGTCAAGGGACAGATTTTTACGCCACATGTTCGTATAGTCCCATATACAGTGTACATCATTCTGTGTACAGTGCTTGTAACTTTACCAAGACTTGGCCAAATTTCTTATCATTGTGATGATTTCGAACCTTGCAATACACACAAATACATAAATATGCTAGATGATAAACCTTTTCTGATCGATTCCACACCGTTTCTTGCACAATTCAATTGCATGACCAGAAGTCAACTTTATTTTTAAGCAATACTAATAAAAGCAATTTTTGGTGTTGCTGCAATCGGGATAAAACAATTTTCTGATGATGTGTTCCTCAAATTTCTGTGGGTGCAGGGTAGAGAGCACTTGCACAGTGAGATGACCCGTAACTGCCTGTCGAAAGGCTGATAAGCAATCAAATTTCTGTCTCTATTTTAAGTTCATTTTATTTTTCAGTGACACTTTTTCTCAGTCTGTAATCCCCTGTTATGAAAGAGACTGCTCGATTTTGAATCATTTCAATTTCGTTATATAATTTTGTGTGTATGGATCCCATACGGATGAGCAATAAAATTCTGTTTGGGTCTCACTAATGTCTTGTACGACATTCTTTTTCATGTTTTTGACTTTAATGTAAACTATTAAATAATAATCTCTTGCCAATCTATCACTGTAACACCAATCATTCAAACCATACTGCCAAACTCACAAATCCTCTCTCCCAAGTCTCTAACTTATAAATCATAACCAAGCCCTAAATTAATACCACTCACCCAGTTCAAGCTCAGGGCAGGGCCCTGTTTCATAAAAGTTGTTTTCAATAACAAATGCTAAATTTCTATGACAAATTTGCTCTCAGCCAATCAAATGCCACGATTTCAGTAGCTTATAACAATTATTGTAACTTGTTATTGATAATAAGGATATATTGACTGCTTTGAGAGGCATAGTGGTTTCTATAGGGTCAAGGGAAACTCACAACCTGCTATGACCCCAAGGCGCTTGCGCCGCGGGGTCATAGTAGGTTGTGAGTTTCCCGAGACCCTATAGAAACAACTATGCCTCGAATATTAAAAGCAGTCAATATATATTTTATATACCGAAAAAAAGGAAAATGTTGACTCACCCATTTAGGTTTCCATCTCTTTGAAGTCATGAATATTAACACCAACAATAACTTGTGTACAGTATGAAATCCAACAAGCTGTGCTCCAGTAGAACAGGGAATACCAAACACGTTTACACGAACAGTAACTTTTGTACAGGATGATATCACCAACAAGCTGTGCTCCAGTAGAACAGTAGAACATGAACAGTAACTTTATAAATTCACAAATTCGCAACATATTTACACAGACTGTGCGTCTAGTCTACTTGTTGTAGATGTATTTTGCGATCGAGACTAGTACACAAAATGGCGATCGGTCGTCTGCGCTGCGTGGATTGGTAGATTCGTCGCCTGAATGCAGCGACCAAAATCGAATTGCACTCAAACACCGTTAACGGTATTGCGCATCGGTCATCGCACAAAAGAAACTTATACGGTAACACGTAAACCAAAATGGGGATCGCAGCAAAATGACGTCACGTTTCACAGCCATGGAAAAAGTGCTATGAAAAATGGATATAAACCGGTAGAGCCGGAAAAAATGACTATGAATTTCAATTAGCGGGCATGGTTAAGAACATGACTGCATTTTCAACCAATCAGAAGACAGGATTAGTAAAGAATCTTAAAATGAGGTATATAACATGTTTTATGAAACAGGGCCCAGGTCTCCATGTGTTTTAATGTACATGTACATGTAGCATGCTATCCATATGCAGCCTCATGCAAAGAATATTCAAATGAAATATCACTCATCAACCAATAGCAAATAAGATTCAAGGATAAAACTGAATATTCATAAGAACAAAGGAGAAGAGAACCAATGATAAGTAAGAAGTGGAAATATTTAAATGAGAAAAGAACATACATGTACCACCTGTTTTAAGACTTGGTATGTGGAGGAGATGAATGGAGGATATGCAAATGATGTGAAATGAATATAGAAGAGACTAGAGAAACAAACAGTAATTGTGACAAATACAAGTAGGAAATAAGTCTAATTTTAACTCTTACATTAATATTACGGATTCCTTCTGATGAAACCTAGAGTTTTAGTTGCCTTGGAGAAAATTCTGCCAACGTGTCAGTTCCCAGTTAAATCACTACTTATCTACTCTTTCATATGTGTGAGTTTTAGTCTCTTGTAATGTAGTGTTATTTAGAGTGTGATCAAACTTAATGGCCCGAATTCACAAAGCAAGGTTTGAGCTCAGACCAAGGTTTGAGCTCAAACCTCCTTTTGTTTCGCCAAACCAGGTTTGTAAATAACAAAAGGAGGTTTGGCGAAACAAAAGGAGGTTTGAGCTCAAACCTTGCTTTGTGAATTCGGGCCAAATTGTTCTGTGGCATATGAAATATGACATGACACTTTTGGGAATGACTTGGCACTTTTGGGCATGGCATGGCACTTTTGGGCATGACTTGGCACTTTTGGGCATGGTTTGGCACTTTTGGGCATGGTTTGGCACTTTTGGGCATGGTTTGGCACTTTTGGGCATGACTTGGCACTTTTGGGCATGGCTTGGCACTTTTGGGCATGGTTTGGCACTTTTGGGCATGGTTTGGCACTTTTGGACATGACTTGGCACTTTTGGGCATGGTTTGGCACTTTTGGGCATGGTTTGGCACTTTTGGGCATGGTTTGGCACTTTTGGGCATGGTTTGGCACTTTTGGGCATGGTTTGGCACTTTTGGGCATGGTTTGGCACTTTTGGGCATGACTTGGCACTTTTGGGCATGGCTTGGCATTTTTAGGCATGACTTGGCAATTTTAGACTTGTCTTGCCAGGATGTTAGGCTTGTTAGCCTGTCTAGGTGTCTTTGTAACCTATCGCCATCTTTACGGCCCGTTATTGTTGTGTACAAAATGCAGTCATCTGCAAATAAATGACTTCCAGATTCAAGACCGTCCATCAGGGAGGTCATTTACAAAAAGGAGCAAGCAAGTTTATTGGACCTGAGACTGTGCCCTGTGGCACACTAGAGTCAACATTGACCCTATCAGAATGTTCACCATCTTTTACTGCCCTTTGCTTACATTTAGTCCCTCTCAGGCTCTGATACCATAGCGCCTAAGGTTTAGTAATTAATAGTTTTCTGTGAGGCTATTTGATGAATGCCTGTTGAAAGTCCATAATTATCACTTCCACTTGGCACTTTTGTTCCACTTCATATGCATTACCGGTATCTTGAATGGTGGAAATTAGCTGCAATTCACAAGAATTATTTTTTGCGAAACCCATGCTGTTGGTTACACAGGATGTTATGTGCATCCAAGTGAGACATTACATTACAGCAGAGTATGTTTTCCGTTACTCTACTACGTACAGATGTCAGGTTTACTGAATGATAGTTTGTAGGTTGAGTCTTATCACCTTTCTTACAAAAGGTGTTACATGTATGTTAGCACACAGCCAGTCTTCAGGAAGTTCATGAACCATTCTTGTTTTGAGTGATAGCTAAAAGACAATGGTTGAAACACAAAGGTTCACTGAACAATAGTTTGTAGGTTGTGTCTTGTCACCTTTCAAACAACTGGTCTACAGGACCATTCCTGTTTCAATTAATAGTTGAAAGACAATGGTAAGTGCAGGCCTGATTTCTTCCGCTGTTGTTCGCAAGACCCAAGGGAATATTTCATCAAAATGAAACCTGGAGATTTGTAATGTATGGGCTGATCTCTTTCAGTAACTTGACAACTCCCCCTACTATTACTTCAATTTCGGGCATGGGTAGAATGTTTGTTTCTTTTTCTGTTGGTAGGTCTGACAGTCTTTCTTGTGTGAATTGTTGTAGCAGATACATGTATTCTGTTTACTATCTGTCAGTGTCCCTATCTCCACATCTCTGACGTCAGGTATGCCAGAAGAGTCTTTCTTAAAAGTTTTGATAAAACTCCAGAAGGTTTTAGCTAACTCTGTACCGGTAGACGTTTTTTCAAACATATCCTTTCCTTATTGCTTTTTTTTTTTTTTTTTTTTTACTCTTCTTTGCTTTATTATAAGCAATTTGTTTGCTCTTGTATGTAGTACCTGTACATTCAATTGAGGAGTTTATCCAGGGTGTCTCATTCCTGTCAACTGTTACTTTTGACGGCAGCGCTCAAAATACATAGGGGGGCGATGGGCGATTCGCCCCCGTGAGCTACACAATCGCCTCCGTCAGAGTGCTCACGGGGGCGATTGCAAAATTATAAATCGTCCCCGTGGAATATAAATAACAAATATATAATAAAGATGATCCTTTCTGTTATAATTTTCACACAATGTTGAGTTTCAAGTTTCAAACCTTAAATCAATGAAATGGAACTATGGAAGTAACATTTTAATAGCGTGCAGGATTTCTTGCTCGAATTCTTCGGTGTCTAGAGGCTGCCACATTGTGAAGGAATAAACACCTTTTCGCCGCAAGATTGCACTATATCTCCCATCTCCACATCTCTATGAGTATTACGGATACAATCAAACAACGGAAGATCGCAGTTCACTGCGGTCGTCAGCAGAGCGGCTTTACTGGCTGCGCCGGTAGTATATTGGTGTGCACGCATGCCGCCCCATATCTGCTGGAGCAAGATAGAGGCGATCGCGCAAGGACCGAAACGTGAAGAAGTTTTTCGTTTTAAAAACGTGAATCCTCTGAAATCTAATTCCAAAACATCAGCAAATAATGAACCTCGACCAGTAAATCAACCGAAAGCTAAAATTAGTAAAAGGAGACCTGTTGGCAAGGAGGCAAATGTATACGGGCTTGAACCAGAAATTTCGTACAAAGGGAAGAGATCTGACCGCGTAGCCAGGGGGCGGTGGGGGCAGTCGCCCCCCCCCCCCCCCAAAAAAAAAAAAAAAAAAACGCCGGCCAAAATAAGAAAGAGAGAGAAAAAAGGAAAAAAAGGAAGAGGACGTAGGAAGAAAAAGGATTAAGAGTCGAGAACGGTACAACGGATCGTCTTCTTTCTCTAATAATTTATGAAAAGTCAAAGCTTCCGCGTTTCGCGCGGGAGCGGGGAAACTGAATTCAGGCAAGGATTTAGAGTCGAGAACTGTAAAACGAATCGTCTACTTTCTCTAATAATTTAATGAAACGTCAAAGCTTCCGCGCTTCGCGCAGGAGCGGGGAAACTGAATTCAGATAAGGATTTAGAGTCGAGGACGGTACAACGAATCGTCTTCTTTCTCTAATGAAACGTCAAAAGAAACTGAATTTAGATAAGGGATTAAGAGTCGAGAACGGTCCAACGAATCGTCTTCTTTCTCTAATAATTTGATGAAACGTCAAAGCTTTCACCTCCCTGCACCCACCCCTCTAGGGAGCGCGCTTTGCGCGCTCTGTAAGTGATTCGCACACTTTGCGTGCTCACTACCGCCCCCCTAAAATGAAATCCTTGCTACGCGCTTGCTTGTCGGACCATTAGCTGCCTGTTATAACTTGTAAAGTTGTAAGAGGAAAATAATGCCGACTATTAATGATAATGATAAAATAGCAAATAATTTAGGAGTTTCATGGGTACCCCCAATTCAATGAAAATTTTTATTAATAAAAAAGCCCCCGTCAGTACTAAAAGAGAAGGCTCACAGGGGCGCTTTTTATTTTGGAAGAGCCCCCGTGGACAAAAAATTAATTTGAGCCCTGTTTGACGGGATAGGTGCACTGACAGCACTGTCTGTCAGTACAACCCAATTTGGTAAATTTGCAGTAGTTGTGTTCAGATCTTTAGTTTTGAAATCCTCACTAATCAATAATCAGACATCAGCTGTACCATATAATTGTACTTTTTATGGTTTCTCTACTGTACTACAGGGTTTGTAATTTACCAGCACCATAGGTATAGTTGGCAACAATAATCAAATTACTGACTAATCACCAATAAGCCAAACACAACAACAATCATCATGGCCACTAATACCAGAGATTGTGTTTGGTTTCATAACAAGAGATGGATTTTTGTATTTTGTTAATATAAAGAACAGGTCTGAGGTACTCTGTTATATGGCTAATGCATGATTTTGAATTAGTATTTAGTTCATTTTAAGCCTCGGTCACCCTAGGATTAAAAGGAAATCATGTTATACATTTCAATCTTTTTAACATTGAACTTTATCCTTCGCATCTCAAACATGACTGTACTGTTTCTATTTATAGAGGAAGCAAGGAAGCAATATGTCCGCTCCATCCCTGGACCCCATCCTGCCGTTACCTCTAGACCAAGCACTATTGAAAGATGTGCAGGACCAAGCAAGGGACTTTGCATACAGCCATGGTGTGGTCATGAGGATGCCCCACCGGCCAGAAAGGTCAGAGGTCATCTGTCATGCTCCGTACACACTGATCCCGTCTCCATTTCCGAGGGTGTTCTTTGAGAAAGCCAAGAGGCTTCAGCAGGCCATTAATTTGCTCTTGTATAGAGTGAGTCAAAACAGAGACTTCTTGACACAAACACTGTCCAGGTAAGAACTAAGAACCCCTCTCATATCTTTTTGATTAAAAAAAAAGAAGTTTTAAATATGATGAAAGAGAGCTCTGTCAGGGCTCAAAATCAGTGGTAATCTAGGTGCTATTGATTCGAGGGCACCTTATAGATCAGCCTTAGAAGCGTGGGTAGGAACTACAATATCTTGCCCCAAAAGGGATTTCTTGGGGTGAGGTTTCTTTTTGATCAAAGAAATGATATGACCTTCTTGTGTGGTAATGTGTTATATGTGGTTAACTTCAGGAAGAAAGAAAAACAAATTGTGAAAAGAAGGGAGTTTCCCTTTCAGTGCTTGATTGAGTAGTACATGTACATTTTGAATGATTGACTCCTGCAAAAGAAAATATGTTAAAATTTGTTTTTTTTCACAATCAGTAGAAAATTGACCTGTTTTGATAAGCTCTTGCTCCCTATGCTGTCAACTTTTTGAAATGAAAGCTTACCAAGCCAAGTAATTTTTATACTGATTGTGAAGTAGGAACTTCAAAGAAATAAGGTACCTTAGACGGGAGCTCTTCTGCACTATATACCGTATACAAAGTATCATGAGGCTTAAGCCTAGCCATCACTATAGGGTGTAAACAAAATTAAAGGGATGATCCCCCTGATATTAATTTGTTTTAATAGATCTAAACAGAAAAATGAGAGGAACAGGTGAGTGAAAGTTTTTAGCAATTTCCGATATCTAATCAGAGACTTCCGATTTCTGATCTGATTGATCGCAACTTCAAAAATTCATAACTTTCTTATTTTTAATCGAAATTTGCTCAAACTGTCAATGACCTGTTCCCTCTCATTTTCTGCTTCTATTACACCCTACTTAATATCACTATCAGTATCAGGGTGGACTTCCCTTCAAGTAATTTCTTAATACTGGGTACCCATTTGACATTTACCTCACCTAGTTGGAGAGTGTCAAATGGAGATTAATGTCTTTCCAAAGAAATTAGTGATATGGCAGCAATTTGAACCCCATACCTTGTTGTCTGGGCACTTACTTTAAGGATTATTTTCAAATGTTGAACAGTATTTTTTTTCTTCTCTCAATGATTTACACCCTTTTCAAATCAGATCAATTATGTGCAACTGTGCATGATATTTCATCAATAGTAAAACATTCCTTTTAGCCGTGTGAATCTTGGAAATCAATATTCCCACCACAGTCAGCTGTACTGTTTTTTCAACACAACTGTAGAGATCTTGTAATCTATTGGTCTTAGTGGATTAGTCACCGGACTGTAAACCACAAGGTACTGGGTTCAAACCCCCTGCCACACCACTAATGTGCTTTGGCAAGACATGTTGTACATTTGCCACACTCAACCCAGGGTAACTTCCTGGCTGGAATTAATTCCTTGAAATGCTGAAGCACTGTAATAACAGCCATGCTAACGTAAATGTTATGATTGTGGAGTGTCAAGTCTGACAGAGACATGAGTGCTGTATACAAGAACCCGCTATTGTTATCATATTATTATGGCATCATTCAATGCCTAAGATTTATGATAAAAACATTTCATTATCCATTTTAAATTAATTTGATTTAAATTGAATTGAACATACTGTGACGGTGTATCCAGTCACATGGTTGTATGTAGTATAGTGACATGGTTAATATCGGCATTTAAGTAAGACTTATCTTTCATGTTTTTCAAGTGTAGTTATTGTGAATTTTTGGTAAATGAAAACAGAATGACGGCACCTTATCCTATAGTTTGTTAGGGTTTGCTACTTGTGTAATTATGTAACCATCTGTGAAGAATTTAATTTCTAGAAACATCTCAAAATTAAGTGTGTAGCACTTTAAAAAAAAAAAAATGGTTTAAAATGTATTTACTAACATAACAGTTCCCCTAACTTTCAACATATGTGTGGATGTATGGGGGAAAAGGTTATCTTGATTTACATTAAGATAATAGCGCATGTATCAATTATACATATTTTTTGTTGCTTTTTATTTTACAGAACAATAGAAGGGGATGATTTCACAGGCAAACTATTCAAGATATATCAGCAAGTGCATGATGAAAAAATACCGAAAGTAAGTAAAATATGTTAAACTGATCATGGGGATGATGTCCTGTCTCTTAAAGATACTATGTCTCATTTGCAGGCCAAATTAATGAATTTGAAAGATAATACTAGTTTAGAACCTCCCTCAAAACGAAGGGGCTTGAAAATGTCTTTATGTGGGAACATAACAACTGTTAGTTGTCTAATTGACTTTAGGGATTGCAATTGTTTTAGTAAATAGTCTGATTAAAAATCTTTTATAAATTGTGAGGCTTATTTTGTTTTATTTTGATTATTTTTTGTTATTGTTGTTGTTTTGTTTATTTACAGGACATTGAGTTAGGCCTTTTAAGAACAGACTACATGCTTGATACTGCCCGGGGTGAGTCTGGTAATCTTGCGCTGTCAATGGTTGAAATGAACACAATGGCTGCTTCCTTTGCTGCCCTAGCAACTAATGTAACACCATTACACAGGTTAGTCAAAAACTCCTGAGATTGTTAAAAGCAGGTCAAAAATTTTGATATAAAAATTGGATGAATTTTAATATGCTCCCAATAAAACATCATCCAGAAGGAATAAATTACTTTCTGAATTCTTAAAAACAGATTTTAAGCATACATTTTCATATTCATATCATAAAACATTTTCATGTGTTTTTGTGCAAGCTAAAATCATTGAATAGGCTACCCTGGGCACAAAATGACTATTTTAATGAACAAAGAATTCAAACAAAGAAGAAATGAATGAAGCTAAAAGAATATGGTTATTATGAACTTGAAATACATGTATACTGAGTAATAATACTAAAGAGCACTGGGATGATATTTGATAGTACATATACACTAAAGACAGATACATGCATTTATTTATTTACATTATACTTATATTGAGACACAAACATATTTTAATTTACAATGATATGCAGTATATTGTGTGATGTCCTGACTGGTTTATATTGCAATGCATCTTTGTTTAGGTATGTCCTTGGACTATGCCGCAAAGAGTTTGAACCGTCCTGTATACCAGATAATCAAGCAAACAAAGGTTTGGCCCAAGCCATTGTCAAAGCATTCCACCTCTATGGTCAACCCAGGTGAGTACCCCCCCCCCCCCTTTCTGCACCTCTCTCATATTAGTTTCTTTAATAGTGATATTTTTATTTGTATGACCAGTGCAGTGTGACATGAAAATTCTACTTGCAATCAAGCGAGTTTCATTGTATCTCCACTATTACTACAATCTGTAACATAACATTAAGAATGAGTTACTATTTGTATGACTTGGTCTTGTGCATATGCCCCTGTCTGTATTCAATGTTTCTTTTTTTACAAATGTTCATCTTTTGTGAAAAAGGTTGTAGATCCCAATGTTCTGTGTGAGAAAGGGTTCTGAAAATAATGAAATCAAAAGTTGTATGAGCAGGACCACAACTGAAATTGCACTCCAACATAGGCTCTGGCGACAGTTGCTCTAGGCTTCATGTTTTTGAAGATGCAGGGTTGGGGTTAGAGCTGCAGTTGGGTTTTAGGCAAAGTTTAGAAGTTGGGAGCCATACAATTAATCTGATTTTTGTCATGTTTCTTATAACATAGTGCTGCAGTATTCTTCATCGTCACCTCCAAAGAACCCAACATCTTTGACCAAAGGTTCCTGGAGTATGCCATCACAGACTGCGACCACAAGATCAAAGTCATGAGGAAAACATTGGGTGACATCGGGCACAGAGGTGAACTCACAAAGGACAGGAGGTTATTCATGTGAGTCAGAGGTTGAAAGGTTAAAGGTTAGAGATGAAGGGTCTTTTCCATTTATGCATGCTGTGGAAAAAGGGAAATATACCCTGTGAAAACTACTCCCCTCAATGCCCCCTTCCCCCTCCAAAATTATTACCTCCTAAATAAATTAAATCACACAAAAATTGTTTGCAAAGTATCTTGGGTTATATTTAAAGGGATATTAATACAGGCAGTTTTATTTCTTGGTGGTAATTTCCCTAGAGAGAAGTTGTCTTTCGGGTTGGGGGGGGGGGGGGGGGGGGACTTGTCCTGTCAGGTTTTCAATTATATAAAAACAGGGTTTTTGTGGTCTGAAATATAATTCTGTGCTAAAAAGAAGTTTCATTTTGCCATAATAAGTTATAAGGAACTTTTTTGTGACATATCACCCAGGTACCATATATAATTTGCAGCCATTGAGTACATCTGAGAAAAAATTCAAACAAAGATTATTTTTTTGTAACTACTGCATTGTTTTTACAGAGATGGCACAGAAGTCGCAGTTTTGTATTACCGATCATGCTATACTCCTCACCAATTTCCAACAGAGTTTGTAAGTAAAGCAAAGCAAGTCGAAGTTTTCTTGTTCAGTCTAGTTTTTTGAAGTCATTAAAGCCTGTCTGTACTAGTTTGGCCAGGAGGGATTAGACCTCCCAGCAAGGTCATTGACAGGTGGCTATCTCATCAATTAAGCTCTCAATTAACATAAGAAAAAGGTCATTGTGGACCAACGGGCACCGCTTTGGCATTGTTCTCTATATAGAGGGAGCAAGTAGCTACAAGTAGTACAGTTGGGCTTTAAAGAATAGGCATTATGTGTGAGTCAATATCTTATCACTTTGCTGATTCAAAATCTCTCGGTATACAGTTATGTACCTAAAATCTGCCTTTCCCAGTTACTACTGAACAGTCTCTGACACCATGCAATGAAAGGAACTCAACTTTATATTTGAAGGAGGCGAGTTGGCTCAGTCGGTAAAGCGTCTGCCCCGTTGACCCAAGGATACTGGTTTATGATCCAGCCCAGGCAGATGACTGAAGCCTGTGTTGTGTTTCGATGTGTCCCTACCCTGTTCCATAGATGCAGGTTGTGTTACAGTGGAAAATACTCTGTCCCACAGATAGGATGCTAAATGGAGGTCCCATGTGTAATAGAGTCATTACCTATGCATATTAGGTACCAACTGCAGTATTCAAATAAGATTAGGGAGGAAACCCTGATGTAGTGGTACACCTACTCCTCCTAATCAGTTTTACTGGGAGGAGAGACCTGAGGGTTACAGCGATTAAGTCGCTTCTTCCCAAATCTTTAATATCTTAAACAATTGATTTGTAACAAATTTAAATTATGATTCCCCATTTCATGACAGGAATGGAAGGGGAAACTAATGGGAGAGCAGTCTAGAGCTGTCGTCAGCCCGTCGATCTCATGGCATCTCGTTGGAACCAAGAAGATCCAGCAGGAACTAGCCAAGCCCGGGGTCCTGGAACAGTTTGTTGAGGACCAGGAGGTGACAGATTTCATCAGGTCCTCGTTTGCGGGCCAGTACTCCCTAGATCTGGTGAGTTGGTCTTATTTTATCTATTTTCAGTCTAGACACTGTTAAGCCTCTTTTAGATATGACATGGCAAACCCTGCCTTTCTTTTTTAATTTTCTTATTGAAACATAATCATAATAGGCTTCACGTTTCTGTATCTGATAACACAGAGCTCGGTGAAGATGAATAGGACCTTTTTTGCGTGTACTCCTCATTTATTAACACGTTAAAGAAAAAACCACCATGGTTTTACCGCTTTATACTTGAATGAATGAGCATTTAGTGGTACTGGTGTCTCAGAGTCTGAACTGATTAACCCATAACCTGCAATCTGTGTGTTTACTCACCTACAGCAGGTTGCAGTGTTCATGCAACACTCACTGTGTAGTTTGCAGGCACTAACCATTGTCGGTCGGTGTGCGTAATCGTGTCTGCATACTGCATAGGCTCTGTACTATAGCTGCTCAGGACACAGCCAGGGACTGACAGACCTAGGCTCTGCTCAAGGCTTTAGAAATTGTGGTCAAGTATCAAATTAGGGTCTGAGCTTGCAGATGAGTACTCACGATGTATAACGCATCAGGCATCGGTCGTTACTAACAGCTACTTGTATGGTTTTCTCACTCGTCTCATTGCAGACTCCCGAGGGGGATGAAGCTGCCCGAAGAGGTATAGAGAATCCAAGGAGATATGTCATGAAACCTCAGAGAGAGGGTGGAGGTACGTACATGATGATGATGATCTTGTGTTTCATATCACTGTTTTTAATCACTTCTCACAGGGGTGCAAAGCCTTCACTCCTTTGGGAATATGCTTGCCATATCTCCTCCTCGAGTGTTTTGGCAATTCAATAAAAAACAGCATTACTTATTATAAGAGTGGCAAATGTAAATTAATTTCTAAATGATTGATCCTTTAAACAAAGATTTTTTTTCTAAGGTGTGCTAGTACCAAAGATTACTTGATTAACATTGGTAATTATTGGTGATCATCTTTTCCCCTGCACCAGGCAATAATATCTACGATGATGAGGTGCGGACCATGTTGGAGAAGTTGGCAGGCAACCAAGAGAGGGAGGGCTTTATCTTGATGGATCGCATCCTTCCCCCCATCCATCAGAACTACCTGCAGCCATGCGGGGTATTCGATGACCTCAAACTGTCAAAGGTCATGAGCGAGCTGGGAATATACGGGACGATTATAAGGTAAGTGTGTATCGCCTGCTGCCCGCAAAAAGGCCATAAGAGATATGTATGGTCAGTGGCAGTAACAGTTTCTTGTTGGCAGCTGAAAATATATATTACTTCATTATGGAGTCAACAGTCTTGTTTTGCTTTTTTAACAGTAATTTTTAGAAGTTTCTTTACCAAAAGCACATTACTAAGTCAGAAGTTTTTCTTCATTTGCAACAGCAATTTGTAGGCAGTTTTTTGACCAAAAGCTGAACATCAAATCAGAAGTTTTCTTTTGTCTTTTTTGCAGCAACTTTTAGTTGTTTATTCAACCAAAGCCCATTATTGAGTCAAGAGTCTTGGTTTGTTTTTAACCAGCAACTTTCAAGAAATTTCTTTTACCAACAACTCGACATTGAGCCAAAAGTCTTCTTGCATCTTTCTCTTTAAACAGTCATAATGGTGAAGTTGTGCTGAATGAAAGTGAGGGCCATCTCCTGCGGACCAAGCACACGGATGAGAACGAAGGGGGAGTGGCTGCAGGAGCATCCTGTGTGGACAGTCCTTTCCTAACTTGACGATGGTCATGCCAATCATCCAGCTCCCTGGCCGGGTGTGCTTCCGAAATTTCAAATCTTATGTCAAGGCCAATTGTAAAACAGGTCCTATTTTCTCATAAAGAAATTTTATAAAAAAATAAAAGGAAATGATCAGATGAAAATACACAATCATTTAATTTGTGAGAATAAAACAAATATATGATCATACATGCTTATAACTGTACTTACAGGTGATCTGTTATTTGCTCTAGATTTTATTTCATCTAAATCATAGGTGTTGGGGTTAGAGTTAGAGTTGCAGTTGGGTTTCGAGGTAGGTTTAGGGCAATTTTCTGGTTCCAAAGATAATTTGTGAGAGTCATTTTCCAAAGTTATAGATTTAATTGTCTGTTGAGAGCAAGAAGGGCTCTAACTCCATGTTCAAGTATATGTGTGAACACCCTTCTAGCATCAAACAGATGTGTACTTTACTGTCAAAACCTTTATAAGGCCAAGTCTTTTGAATATCAAGTTCTGTGTCTCTGGTGACTTTTTGTATTGATTGTGTAAAAAGGCCACCTGTCTACAAATGCCATTCATTCTGTTTCGTGGCCTTTATATACAAGATTGAATGTATACAGTGTATTTACCTCATATAGAATATTATGAGTAATTATGATTGAAAATGTAAACATCATTATACTAATCATCATTATGTGAAGAGACACCCTTAGTTTCAAATAAAAGTGTTATGCAACTGTAACTCTGGGTGTGCAATATTTGGAACAGACTTTTATCATTTTTAGTAGTCAAGATGAGACTCGACTTGTCAAGTGAGAATTTTAAGTTGATTCTTATTTTAAGTTTATTATTATGCTTAAACTTTAGCATTAATCATGATTTATCTGTGGTAGTATCCAATACTTTTACAGAATATATTACTTTCACAATTATTTCCACATTATTGATTTGTTATGTGCAAAAAAATTACATGAGTAAGTGGCTTAGCCTTTATATTGTACTGTGATTCATCATCCAATGTGTATATTTGATTCATATATTTGCCAATAAATCATGATTTATTTAACTAACAGCAATAGTGTGACTTGTCTAAATATTTCAGTAAGTGTCTTTAAAGCCCCACAGCAGAACTTATAACTACTTGCGCCCTCTATACAGCCAACAATGCCCAAGTGGTACCCGTTGATCCCCCATGATGCCTTTTTTCTTTGATTTGATGAGATAACCACCTTCCAGCGACCTTGCAGGGAGGTCTAATCCCTCCATGCCAAACTAGTGCAGAGGGGCTTAAAAAGAAATATATATATTTCTTATGGTTCTGACTGTATTACATGTACTCATGTATGTTTTGCCATGTGCTAGGTATCTAATGAGGAGGTGCTTTAAGAATGATAGTGTTACTAATGTGTACGTTTGAGACGCGTTTTTAAAACAAATTTGCTCTGGATTCGTAAGACTACTCTTCAGTTTTTGTAGCATGTGGTCTGAATAAAAATTAGTGTCATTATCTGGCAGCACTGAAACCATTTTTATCATCAATAAAAACAATAGTAATGATAATAAAAACAACAATAATAATGTAATGATGATAATACTAGTCTGGTACGTCTATAAGACGTTACTAGGTTATATGATAGTTATAAGTGTACCGGCCTGTGCATCACATGGTTCACGGATGGATTCCCGCCACGGCACTAATGTGTTTGGCAAGACATTGTTCTACATTTGCTGCTCTCCATCCAAGTGTTAAATGGTACCCGGTAGGATGCGAATGTGATTGGATTAGCATGTGTGCGCTTGTAAAATGATACGGAACGTACGTATGCACTATATGAGGTACGGATCAGTAGTTGAATCCAATGACCAGGAAACAAGTAGAAACATAATATAATTAGCATCATTACTATTATTGATAATATTATTATCATTATTGTCATTACTATGTACAACAATCGTGTACGTTCACGCATCACTTATAGATCTAAAACGCTAACGAAGTGGTCGCTACAAATCACACTATGATGCAGGCGCGGTGTGGTTATCGGAGGATACCCCCCTAATTTTTTCTTCAAGTTTTTCAAAAACTAACCTCCCCGCCCGCCCCCCCCCCCCCTCCCCACTGAACGAAATATCGGTCGGCAAATTTTTTAATTTCCGGGACACAAAAAAAAAATATGTGCTCCTTTCTTAATCCTTCCTTCTCTTCAAAGCTTTTTGAGTTATGACGCTAATCAAAAGTGAAAACACTTCCAGTTCGTACTATAACTTTTGAACATAAAGAAGTACAGATAATGAGTGCAACCGTATTGGTTTCAGGTCGTTTTCAAAGTGCTTCCTAATTATATATGTAAATAAAATAAAACAATCAGCTTTCTCCACTATCTCTCCATCCCCTTTCTCCACTCTCTCTCTCTCTCTCTCTCTCTCTCTCTCTCTCAGTCTCTCTCTCTCTCTCTCTATCTCACTCTCTCTCTCTCTCTCTCGCTCACCATTTCTGTCTTCTATTTTTTGAATATCAAGAATAACAATAAACACAAACAAACGCTAATTCAATATATAACTTTTATTTTAATATAATATATACAATATTTACAGCATAATAATTTCTTGACTTTGTTTTCTACTTCATTACCTTCCTTTTTGTTTCTATCCAAATACGAATTCAAATGCACCTGTGGAATATATCACTAAATACTATGTACATATCTATGAAGCTTATATTTCAGTAAGTATTTGTAAAGATATGTTGATATTAAAGAATACACGGTAGTTTTATAAGAGTGGATTCGATATAATCCAACTTTTGCAAACATAGCATTGGGACCAACATTCTGTTGCATTATTGTTCACCGTGTGATATCTCGTTCCACCTTAATATCACCTAATATTCATGCTCTTCAATTTCAATTTGTAGTTTGAATTAGACTTTCTAGGATGGAAATGTTACGTTTATGCAGATAATGTAATAAGCAATGTAAAACGCATTGGAATTTCCTTTGGTCATGAAATGCGCTCTACAAGATCGAACTTACTCTGTGTCTATTGCCCAGATAGCTTAGTCATGATAACAATATATACAATGGTACAATACATATTAAACACAGTGATTACTTTCTAAAGCAGATTGTTTCTAGCAAATCAACGGTAGTATATATACGTTAAAAATGTTATGTACAGTTTCATCGTTTTGCCCCGATTTAAATCACCACACTGATCTTTCTACTTCTACTTCTAATCTACCAATCCTCGGCCTTTAGCTGTTCTTAGGCCTGATCCTCTGTCATCATCTCCTGCTCCCCCTTCCCCTCCTACAGTCTTCATTGATGTTATCAAACTTTCCGTCTTAATCGTTCTTCATAATTATTGAATGATATTTCTACTCCATCATCCTTCTTTTCCTATATCCATCTATTATAGACCATGTAGTTCTGGATTCAATTCCCCTATCCCCTATCCCTTCTCCTCCTTCTGCAGTTCTACAAGATCTACATTCAAGTTAAATATGCTACAGTATCTGCTATACATGGTTTTGGCCTTCCCCCGTTCCCCTTCCGATGAATTAAACTAACAAGAGGATGACCCGGGGCCATCTTCCCCTTCTTCTACCAGCTGCACATCGTTAAGCTGGTCGATGATTTCTTGCACAGTTGGCCTCTGGTCTTCATCAGCCAGGTAGATTTGCGTACCAAAACACTCAAAATCATCATACCTCATGGCGCGACCTACGATCGCTAGCAATCTGCCTAAGGAGTAGACATCGCTGGATGTTGAGCAAGGCCTGGCGTCCAACACGCATTCAGGGGCAATATGGTCACACCCTCGGCCGCTACGGTAAAAATCAATTTGCTCTTCATCCAGAGGCATTACAAAAGGAGTGGCGATTTCAGAAGCCCATCCCAGATCGATGATCTTGGCTCGCCAGCGTCCAGACTCCTCGACAACCAGTACGTTGTCTTCTTTGAGATCATTACACAGGAATCCATTGGAATGGAGTGCTTTCAGTCCTTCTGCAACATCTTTGAGGACATTAAACCACTCATCTTTGGTGAGATACGGTCCTGTCTTCAACATGGACTTCTCGAGACAGTCAGTGATGGTGTAGCTACGATCCTCAGACTCATTCCCAATGAACTCCATGGCCAAAACTGCCTGGTCATCTGCGATGTCAAAGCTTCCATAGAAGGTAGGAAACGATGGGAGGCCACTGATTGCTTGGTGAATCCTGACCTCGTTCCTGAAGCACTCTCCTGGGTATTCCACGAGCTTGGCAGCGACGGGGATCTTCGAGACTGCGTGACGGAAGAGGAAGACAGTTCCTGCGACACCTCTTCCAAGTTCGATGCTGCATCTCGTCTCCGCCCAAGGGATGAGGTCGGACATATTGGAGACCATCATGTTGCTGTTACGTGGTGGCTCCAAACAGCTGATCGTACTGGCGATTGCAGAAACACCTCGAAGCAGAGATGTCCTACTTGGTGGTCTGAAGGCATCCCCTGCTCTGAGTGTCTCTAGGCTTCTGCAGCGAGGACCAAGATGAATGAGATCGCGAGATGCAGATAACGTGAAGCTATGGCTTCGGTAGGAGATGCTCAGAGAAAGGTGTTCTTTTATCTGCTGTAGCTCCTGCTCGGTCTTACCGAAAATCAAGGGGTCTCTGTTTGAAAAGAAAATTTAGAAAATAGTTCAATAATCACAACCTTTATTACAATCAAGAATATTCTACTGAATCAAAAGAGTGATCTAAAAAGGCAGAGTTACCACAAGCATACATGGACAGCCTGCTAAGTTCTGTTTTAAGCATTTCTATCTTTTTGGCATGATGGGGGTCATGATTCTTTTTATAACCAAGAGACAAGCGAAATGAAAATCATAAGCCAATTTACTTTTGAAATGATGAATCTACTGTTTTGTACATTTCGATGATTAAAATAATTCTCTTACCGATCTGTTTGGACTGACTTGTGACAAAGTTGGCCTTCCGATTGGGCTTGGTGGTCATCGGTCTGAGTGGCTACTGAGGCAAGCACTGGACCAGGACGGGAGAGATGATCCTGTCAAAAATAAGGATGGTGGGGGGAAACAACATTACTGAATAGGTGTGAAGTCAAAAGGGTGCGGAGACAAGTAGACAGTGAGAAAGAAAGAAAGAAAGAGAGAGACGGGGAGAGGGAGAGAGGTAAAGGGACATAGAGAAAAAGAGAGACATACAGAGTGAGAGAGAGAGAGAGAGAGAGAGAAGGGGGATGGGCATAGAGATAGAGAATGAGATAGAGAGAAAGAGAGAGAGAGAGAGAGAGAGAGAGAGAAAGAGAGGGATAGAAGGGGGCCTGAAGAGCACAAGTAATGCCTAGGTCACATATAAACCGGGCCCCGTATGATTTTCCCTACCCGGCGGCTTGCCGTGGATTTAGAGACCGTACGGGAAGCGTTATTTTTTTATGCGGCACAGATTGGGGCTTTTTTTTAAAAGGGGTCTTGATTTACAGACTAATACTGGTCGTGTGCGTATACTAGATCGTATAAGTAGTAGAGGTCTGTTTTTAATAGTGTTACATGTAATCCACTACCGCATGGAAAATCATTACATCAACAATTAAAATCAAATTGGAAATCTGAAGAGGAGGCAGCACGTCAATAAGGAGAACATCACAATAATTAGTCAATAAAACTTAAACAAAGAGGAATGTTATCTAAACACATAGTTCGCGATGGATATACAAACTTCTTCGCAGCGCTAATGCGCTAGCGAACATGACTAGTCTCACGTACGTGCAGACACTATTCAGAAGGGAAAGAACGTACTTCCCATAGGTTTAACACGCGCCATGCCCCAATCTGTGCCGCATAAAAAAATAACGCGTACGGGAACCTTCCGATTTTCTTTTCTACGGCATGTGCGGTCACATATTCTGCGGCGCCCGGGAGGTGCCCGGTGAAAATTGGTCGAGTGAAATGCAAGGCGCCCGTAAGGATGCCGGCCGGTAAGCTACGTGCTCCGTCCGATGAGCAGGTGCACCCGTGGCTCCTGGAAGGTGCCCTGCCGGGATCCGGCCGGGGTCCTCAGGGTGCCCT